GTGCTAACTTAGAATCTCCTGGGTGCCAGCGTTCTGAACTTCAACAAACACTCCAAGGAGCTCTCATGGCCTCCAAAGTGTGAGACTGACACTTGCAATGTTGGTGTGTTTGACCCTTTTACCACTTTCTGTGATGGAAAGCAAGGGTTTTAATTTTCTTGGACTTGATGGTAACTATTATTACTAGCTAACTCAACATCCATGTTTTTCTCTCTCTTTAATGATAAAACCTTAATATTCACTTGAGCTCCTTGCTGCCCACTTATCATTACCCAGGCATTCTGACAACTAGATACAAGAGGGGCTTTTGTGTGAAACATATGAAACGTTCCCCTTGAAGGGTGGAAGCACACTCCTTTACTTCATTTACTACCTTCAGCTGCCTGGGATGTGTCTATATTAGCTGGAACCTCTGCTGTACATCCTGGACCATGGGGACAAGGCCGGTATCTCAGCTTCGGGTGTTGGAGAGCCTGAAGGGCACTGGGTCCCTGATGATTTCATGAAGCCACCACACTGGTTCTGGACTGCCTGTGATTGGACCTCTTTTATATGAGAGAATAAAACCTGTGTGTTTAATCTCTTAATGGGGGAGGGGAATCGCTGTAATTCATAGCTGAATGAGCATCCTAACTGCTACAGACCCCATTTAGGATTATGGGTTAACTTGAGGCAAAATCTTTCCACTTCAGATGACCCAGCGTTATCATGGATAGGGAGGGTGAGTGTTGTCTCTGAATGTTAACAGTAACTTTGTTGTGTTTCTGTGGGTCCAAGAGTCAGGGGGGGCAATCCTGGTCTGGCTTACAATTTCAGAAAGGCATGTGCTTTTCCAGCTGTTGGCTACAGAGAAGTGACAGGTGTGCGTGGTTAAGTGGCCACAAGGGTTCTAGGGAGGGAGGCAGACCCAAGGACATATGTGCATGCGAGAATCTAGATTGTCTATTAAAGCAATTGATCACTTAGTGGTGCCCTCCATGCTCCATGAAGTTAACCTTTATCCAACTTAAGGCTAGGGCTATTACATATGGATGAAATGCAATGTGTTGAAGACATCTGAAGCTTACTTAAAGTGTTCCTTTTACCTTGAGGAAGAAAAGATTGTATTTTCCCCCGTTAATAGTTTTTTTTCCTGTTTCCAAACCTGATGCTCTCAAGCATTAGCTTTGTAGCACTTCCAACTCTTACTGCCTTGACTCTTAAGGTAATGTTCAAAAGCAGTAAAAGCAAGGTTCTCTATTTCTGTCACTGATGTTGGCTCAGTTATCAGAGTCATTTATTAGAGGCTTTCCTCCTTTTCTCTCTTCCCTCTCAGTCTGATATAGATGTAGTTATAACCTTTAACATGGTTACTTTTGTTGATACATTGATAAATGGGATGACTGCAGGTTCGCTTGCACAAATAATTTGTTATTAAATTTCACATTCTAGCCTATAGTGTGACCCCAACATCTTATGTTACAACAGGGACTCTCAAACTGTGGCCTCTGGACCAGCAGCATCACCATCACCTGAGGACTTGTTGAAGTTGCAAATTCTTGCCTCCGCCCCTTCAGATCCACTGAATCAGAAACTCTGGGGCTGGAGCAACAGTTTGTGATTTTCAAGACTTGTGGATGATTCTGAGGCCCATTCAAGTTTCAGGACCAGTCTTTCCAAGTGAGTCTAGTATCTTCAAATCAATCCACCAAAAATGCTTAAACGTTAATATTTCTTAATGTTTCCACACAACTGAAATCTTAGACTCCTACACGTTGGCTTTTGAACATTTAATTATATTACTTTTATCTCATCTGTCTTCAGTCTACTGATAACTGGCCCAGGCAATAAGATGACTCAATTTGTGCTAAAATAGCACCACTAATAATAACAGCTAGAATTGTATAGTATTTTTTCAGTCTTCAAAGTGCTGACACATTTAAACTTCATTTGATTATGCAATGGATTCAAATATACCATCTGAATCAGTGCAATTTAATTGCAGGAAAAAATAATAAACATGAACTACCACAAACCATGTTTTAGTCTTCTCTTTGTATTTATATCTCCCGTTCTTTGGTAGTAGAAACTATACTTGATAAAATAAATATTATTTAATGAATGAACATTTAGAAGAATAATATCTAAGTATGATATGTAAATGAATTATGGGGAAAATCTACAGAGTTTTAGGCCAAATCCAATTGGACGAAGAGAGAATTTCATGAAAAACATTTCAGTTTCCTTACTGTATATTTGACACTAAGACATTTGACAAAGGTTAACACACTGACTTACAGACACACTGTAGAGACTGACTTATTGTCTTCATTTGAGTAGCAAACATAAACTCAAGATGGCTGGGTCACATCGATGAGGCCAGCATTCCTTTGTGTTATTATTAAATAGTATTATATGCAAGAATATAATTTTTCAAGAATATACATATAATATTTAGAAATTGATTCAAATGATTCTTAAAACCATTTTTATTATACCTATAATAAAAATTAGGATATTATGTTCTATTAGTATGTCAAATATGACTTAAATAGTAATTTTAAAAATAATATTCAAAATTAAAATCAGAAGTAGTTTTAGATAATGGGGGAAAATAAAGCAAAAAACCTCTTACAAAACTGGCACCTAGTTAGGTGCTAAGTTTATTAAAGGTATTAATCAGTAGCTTTACTAATGTTTCAAAGTTGTCATCCTAACCAAATATTTCAGGGTTTGATAATGTTTTTCCTCAGCTCTAAAACTCAAAAAATAACATTAACCCTAAGACTCCAAATCTTTTCACAAGTGTTCTAAAAACAGTAAATCCCAAATGGCAGTTTTTTGAAACAAACTTCTGGTAAAGAATCTGGAGATATTTTCAATAAGAATAACTTAAAATTAAATTTCTAGGAGTGTGCTTTAGTGGAAAAGACTCAAGCTTTGGGGTTAGAAAACTGGGTCAAATTCTAGCTCTGTAATTTACCAGCTAGAAGTCCAACTTACTTATCCCAATGAACCTCAGTTTCTTTATCTGTAATTTAGGAGTAATCATTATACCTGCCTCATAGAACTTCTGTTAACATCAAACAGAACTGTGAGTCTTGTCTTTCCAGACTAGAACTGGCCAATAGAATGTCCTTGATATGCAATAACTCTTGTTATTTTGAAAGAAAATGAAAATGTGCATGAAATAATTTGTAAAACATAAAAGGATATATAAATATTGGTTGATCTATTAGTTTTTGCCAGAGACAAAGTAAAACAGTTACAGTAGGGGGATTGTTCTTTCTAAGCATACACTTGAAATATTCAAGCCTGTTTTGATTACAAGTTCCTTCAATTAATGCACAAAACACACAAAATCTGAGAAAATATCAAGGTTTTGTATCAATTTGTATGAGGAAAAATCATACAGAATTTTCTACTGATTCAAAATAAAGCTGCTTCTGAATTCTTGTATGCCAGAAGACAAGGAGCTAGACAGGCACGCTCAGGTAGCCTCTGTGCCTTTTAGCAACATGAATGTGGCACTGACTTTTTTAAAGAGAAAAATAAAGATTATGAAGAATGGTTGTGACAGGGTCCAAAAGTGATCCTACCTTGGGTTTTTAATTAATTTACACATCACCATCAGCCACTTACCCTAAATAAACAAAAATGAAATAAGGATGAACCAATATCATCCTGGAAGTTAACTTTCCTGGCATCCTGTTCATTGAGCCTCAGTTTTTCCTGAGCACTTATGAAGAATCATGAGCCAGAAATCTGAAGACAAATTAAGACACAATATTTGCTCTGAAACAATTAAGCAACTCAACTCTTCAGAACATAAGAGGACAGATAGCTAGAGGAACCCAAATAATTGTTGAATATGGGACTAAAATCAGGTAAGTGAAAGTAGCCAGCAGACAAAGCTCTAATTAAAACATACACATTTACCTGAGGAATTTTCACACCAACATTTGAGCACCTAGTAAACAATACCACTGATAAAACAGAGAAGACTTAAAGACAAGGATGTAGAATTTCTAATAGCTGTAAGTTTCCTCAAATTTCTTGCAGTTATAAGTGCAATAAATTATTTACATGAAACGGTAGTACTTAAAGGGTTATCCATAAACCCTTGGGGATACCTAAAATCCTTTCATAGCATCCACAAAGTCAAAACTATTTTTATAATAAGCAAAGACATTTGCATTTTTACCATGTTGACATTTGTACCAATGGTAAAACTGCCGGAGCCTTTGTAAGGATCAAGGCAGTGGTGCCAAACTGAACTAGCAATCATTGTCTTCTTAAGTGCTATGCACTTCTAGTTTTAAAAGATTGTCAGTGTCACTTAAAAACATCTTTGATAAAGCAATAAAATATTATCTTTATGACATCTTAACCTTGAATATATATATATATATATATATGTTTAATATTCTGTGTGACAAAATGGGAAGTGCAAAGTATAACAATTGTCCTAAGGAAATCTTCTTGTGCAGCTGCTTGAGTTGCAAGGTAAACTGGCCAGTTTTTTCATGTAATATGATTTGACTTGAAAGAATGACTGAGAGATACCTTTAGACTTGGATATACGGCAGAATTTTTCCTGACAATTAATAAAGTGAAATTGTCACTTCAAGAAAAACATCTGATATTTATTGTCAAGGATAAAATTTAAACTTTGTAGTGAGAAATAGAATTTTGGAAAACTTGCATTCAAAACTATGAACATAATTTAAACACTTAGTCAATGAATTGGTGGTACTATTAACAGATGACTTTTAAAAATATTGCATAATGGTATGTGTCAACACAGACTCTTTGCATAATTCTGTGAAGCAGTATTTTCTAAATACTAACTAACACTTGATGATACAAAATCATACATGGGTAAAGAATGCATAAAAAATGCAAGGTAGACCAATGATTTTAATGTAATAGAGTATAGAAAGTCAATTAATACGGAGCTGAAGAAGAGAGTCGGAAGAACAAGAGGTTTTCTCTTGGGGACCGAGGAGGATCTTGGAAATGATGTTATGGACAATATTACCGGGCAGAACCAATTCTATGAGACCCAGGTCATCAAGAAAGAGAACGAGTCAGGCTATGAGAGGAGACCTTTGGAAATGGAGCAGCAGCAGGCCTCTTGCCCAGTGGAAGTGAAGACAGAGATGAAGCAGGAAGGACCCACCAGCTTCCTCCCACCTGAAGCATCTCAGCTCAAGCCAGACAGACAGCAATTCCAAAGTCGCAAGAGGCTTTATGAAGAAAACCGGGGAAGGGGGTACTTCAAGCACCGAGAGGATAGGAGGGGTCGCTCTCCTCAGCCTCCCGCCGAAGAGGATGAAGATGATTTTGATGACACTCTTGCTGCCATCGACACCTATAACTGTGACCTCTACTTCAAGGTGGCCGGAGACCGGAGTAGTGGCTACCCACTGGCAACTGAGGGCTTCACATACCTGTGGTCTGGAGCCCGTGCCAGCTATGGGGTCAGAAGGGGCCGTGTGTGCTTCGAGATGAAGGTCAATGAGGAAATCTCCGTGAAACACCTTCCATCTACGGAGCCTGACCCACACGTTGTCCGTATCGGCTGGTCCCTTGATTGCTGCAGCACCCAACTAGGCCAAGAGCCTTTCTCTTATGGCTATGGAGGCACTGGGAAGAAGTCCACCAATAGCCGGTTTGAAAACTACGGAGACAAGTTTGCAGAGAATGACGTGATTGGCTGCTTTGCGGACTTCGAATGTGGAAATGACGTGGAACTTTCCTTTACCAAGAAGGGGAAGTGGATGGGCATTGCTTTCCGAATTCAGAAGGAAGCCTTGGGGGCTCAGGCCCTCTACCCTCATGTTCTGGTGAAGAATTGTGCAGTGGAGTTCAACTTCGGGCAGAAGACAGAGCCCTACTGTTCTGTCCTTCCTGGCTTTACCTTCATCCAGCACCTTCCCCTGAGTGAGCGGATCCGGGGCTCTGTTGGACCAAAGACCAAGTCAGAGTGTGAGATTCTGATGATGGTGGGCCTGCCCGCTGCGGCGAAGACCACATGGGCCATCAAACACGCAGCCTCCAACCCCTCCAAGAAGTACAACATTCTGGGTACCAAAGCCATCATGGATAAGATGCGGGTGATGGGCCTGCGCCGCCCGCGGAACTACGCCGGCCGCTGGGATGTCCTGATCCCGCAGGCCGCCCAGTGCCTCAGTCGCCTCATCCAGATCGCTGCCCGCAAGAAGCGCAACTATATCCTAGACCAGGCAAATGTTCATGGGTCAGCTCAGAGACGACAAATGAGACCATTTGAAGGCTTCCGGCGCAAAGCTATTGTCATTTGTCCCCCTGATGAGGACGTAAAAGACCGAACAATAAAGCGAACCGACGAGGAAGGGAAAGCTGTCCCAGATCATGCAGTCTTGGAAATGAAAGCCAACTTCACGTTGCCAGACGTTGGGGACTTCCGAGATGCGGTGCTGTTCACTGAGCGGCTGCGGGAGGAAGCAGACGAGCTGGTGAGGCAACACAACGAGGAGGGTCGCAAGGCCGGGCCACCCCCTGAAAAGCGCTTTGACAACCGAGGCGGCGGTGGCTTCCGGGGCCGGGGTGGCGGCGGCAGTTTCCAGCGCTACGACAACCGAGGTCCCCCTGGGGGCACCCGAGGAGGCTTCCAGGACCGAGGAGAAGGCAGTGGTGGAGGAAGCAACTACCAAGGAGGTTTCAACCGAAGCGGAGGTGGTGGCTACAGCCAGAACCGCTGGGGTAACAATAGCCGGGATAACAACAACCCCACCACCCGAGGCAGCTGCAACCGAGCTCCCCAGCAGCAACCACCCCCCCAGCAGCCGCCGCCGCCACCCAGCTACAGCCGCCACCCAGCTACAGCCCTGCTCGGAACCCACCAGGGGCCGGCAGCTACAGCAGGAACAGCAGCATCCCTGGCTCAAGTGCCAGTACCAGCACCCCCACCGTCAGCAGCTACAGCCCTCCACAGCCGAGGTACAGCCAACCACCCTACAACCAGGGAGGTTACAGCCAGGGCTATACGGCCCCACCACCTCCACCTCCACCGCCGCCTGCCTACAACCATGGGAGCTCCGGCGCCTACACCCCCGCTCCATATCCCCCGCCGCCGCCGCCGCCAGCCGCACAGACTACCCTCAGCCCCGCTGTAACCAGGATCAGCAGTTTGCTCAGCAGTGGAACCAGCACTGTCGGAACCAGGGCCGGTGGCCACCATACTCCGGGAACTACGACTGCGGGAGTTACACCGGGAACACACAGGGGGGCACGAGCAGGCAGTAGCCGTGTGACCCGGAGGCCCCTGCCGGCTTCCTCCACCAGCGCCCACCTCGGTCCCTTGTCTGCCCCACAGAGTCCTGCGGTGCTGGGGGACGGGTCATCCCAGGGCTGCCTCCCTCCAGCCCGTGCCTCCCTGCTGAGGGACCTCTTCCCCTATAGGGCTGGGCATTTTTCTCTGGATTCAAACAGGCAACAGTGACCTTTTAGTTTCTCTTCCTCTCCCCACCTCCTCCCTCTTCCTCCTCTTTTTCCCTTCCTCCTGTTTGACTAAAGACACCCCTCCCCTCCCTTGGTCACACAGTGAGGCCGCAGTGACTGAGGACGACCCCTTGCTGTCCGCTGTCCCAGGCCTCCTCCAGCCCCTCGGCTTCCCAGCTTTCCCTTCCGAAACCCTCATGCAGTTGGTTGTAAATTCTTTCAGGAGCCGTTTTACTGTCTACTTTTCAGGATTAAAACCAAAAAATCAAAAACTTAAAAAAAAAAGTCAATTAATATAACTTCATGTTTCAAAGACAAATTATCTTATCCAAAGAAAATTATCACTTGTCAAGTTTTAATGTAATATCGAAGAAGGGTATTTCAAATTATCCAAAATGGCTACAAAAATGCCCGTGTGAGTGTGAATTTTCTTCATATACTTCTACCAAACCAACATACTGCAACAAATTGAATGCAGAAGTAGACAGGAGAGAATCTGGTTTTCTTCTATTAAGTCCAACATTAAAATGACTTGCAAACACATTTCTTAAATGCCACAATTCTCGCTACTTTTTATTAGTTTTGGGTAATGTTATTTTTCATAAAATTATGATTTATTTTAATATGCAGCAGGTTTGTCGTTTTAAAATAAATTATTACATATATTTTTAAAAAGGTCTACTTTTTCATTTCTAGTAAGTTAAATATCAATAGATGTAATCCATGTAACTAAAATCTCTTTGGAGCACTCAATATTTTTTAAGAGTCTAAAAGGTTCCTGAAGCAAAAGGTGTGTGAGAATCACTAGCGTGGACTATGTGAAAATAACTGTTGGCAACATCGTGATTTCTTCTTCACACTCACATTGGACATGAAAGGCCAAGGTTAAAGTTACTTTGTTGAATGTCATAGAGGATCCCTGTGGGTTTTGGTGGGGATCGTTAGTGGACTTCCTGAAGATCCACATGAAGAGATTCTCCCTATAAACAAACCCCTCTAGTGAACTCTTTGGGCCATTTATCCTTTGAAGGCCAAATGCGTCTAGCACTGGAGCATAAGGTACTTTGATTCTGTGGTACCCCAGGATGTAAAAAATTATCTCAAGAGATGATTATTAGGAAAACCCTTGGTGTTAAATAATTTTAATTGCTTTAATTTAAAAGAGTTTATAAATATTGAATTTATGATTGCTTTTTTTAGCATTGTGTGTGTGTGTGTGTGTATGCGTACTAAATATATAGGGTAATATGAAAATTACTAGCCATGGGGTAATGAGGTTAAAATATTATAAGTCATCCCATGACTATAGGGACAATGTTTATGATATGAGCTAATATAACCATTAATGAAACTTACCTGTTACACTTTTCCTTCAACCCTAGCCACTTTATTCTTTATTTTTCCTCTTCCTTCGCAGCGAGGTTCTAGCTCAGTACCCTTATTGTAATTGACTCCCCCAGGCTCTGTCCATTTTTATTAAACACCAAAATGTCAGCTAGTTAGCCAAAAGATGTTGCTGAACTCTGCACGGTGCATTGCACACACTCATATTTAAAGGTGTACATGAGTGAGGGAGGCTTTGTGCAAGCCAGGAGTAAGTCACAAGGAGTCAGAAAGCCTCTTCTCCTGTCATTCCCTGCAGATGACAGAATTTCCTCTTAGAACAAAATCCCTTCAGGTTAGGGCTGAAAACATGGGGGAAATCCAAATACTGGTTTAGAGCATTTATACCTCATGTGAATTAAGAATTCCAGGATTTGTTTAGTTGGGATCAGGAAGGAGAGGCTGGTAGAGGCCATTCCTGTGGGGAAGGAGAGCTGAAGGTTGCAGGGGTCAGAGACACCAACATTAGTTGTCCCTGAAGTCTGTGTAGTGTGGTGGCAAGACCAGGGGGCTTGGTGCCAGTTAGACCTGAGTTGGAGTCCCTGTTCCCCATCACTTACCAGCCGAGTGACTTGGGGACATCTGCTTCATCTCATGGAGCATCAACTTTCTCATTGTAGCAAATGAGGGCAATCGTGTCTCCCTTGAAGGGCTGAATGAAGATTCAATGAGAGCAAGTGTGTGACATGCGTGGAACACAGTAGGTGTCCAGTAAATGCCTATTTTCTTTTACTACTTTAGAAATTTTCTCATATATTTTGAGATTGTTACTTTTCGAATGGGTAAATGGACCCATTTTTCAGGGAACAACTGGACATTTTCTCACTTCTTCCCCACATCCTAATGAGTTTACCTGTTTTCAAACTTTTCATAGTATGTAACAAAGACCACTATCAAAAGCTTTCTTTAAAAAATGAGAAGAATAGAATGTTCATTCTATTCTCCCAGTCTTCACGGTCAGTGTGTCTTCCAGAAATTCCAAGAAGTTAGTGAGGCCTGACCTTCCTCTTTTTCTTCTTTTCATTTTATAAAGCACGCCAGCAATCTTTAATCATGCTGTGATTTTCTAAATGCCACCCACGTTAGCTTCTGAAACAGTTTCAAAGATTGAACCCGTAAACACACAAATAACTGATCTGTACTTTTCAAGAATACACAGAAGCATCTTACTTTTAAAAAATAATATTAGACTGTTTTCTCCTTTTACTTCCATATTCATTTCTGGAGCGAAGCACTTCTTTTTGTTATAGATTTTAATAAAAATTCAAACCTAACTACAGAGATTTTTTGTGCTTATTCTTTATTGAGGTGATTAGCATGCAAAGCATTTTTATGTAATTTTTTTCTTTTTCAAGAAAAGTGGATAAGCTCAAAGGAACAGAGTTAACCTATTAGCTGCTTCCTAAGTCACTTCATCTTGACCTGATAAAACCTTATTTGCTTAACAGAGTTCACTATTCCAAATCAGAAGATTTGGAAAGGAAGGTTACTAAAGAGGAAATAGGCTCAAAGGAATTTAGACAGAGAATATCAAATGCTCTAACTATTAACAGAGATCCTGCTGTTGACCTGTCTTACTGCATCCTGAAAATTAGCTGTCCAATCTCTCTGATGGGAGATGAGGACAGTTGAGAGTTAGAGTCTGCGACAAATGCAAATAGACATGACCAAGACAAAAACATCTGAAAATCTACAGCCAAAAAATATCGAGGAAGAAATCTGTTATGAAATATGAGTAGACCTTGGAGAAATAAAGCTCACATAAGATTTTTCTTCTCAGTGAACATGTGTCTGCCTTACCTGCTTTGATGTGGTGCTGATGATATCTGAAGTGATGTTGAGGAAAGGCAAGAGCACAGTTCAAAGAGAGGTCTCAGGATGAGTAATATGGTAAATTGAGCTGCAAAATGAAGACAGCAATCGAGGGATGTGTAGAAAGTACAAAATGGCCAAAGTATCACTTAAATGAACTCAATAATTTTGAATTATTTTCTTTCCTTTGTTGCCAAAAATCAGAATTCTTTTATTTGCTGAAATGGTATTTCCAATGGGAAACTCTCTGTTGTTGAGACTCAGGAATGGGTCATCTGTTTTGTGTTGTATATCCCTTCCTTTACTGAATACTGATGATATGGAAATGTTGCAACTACTTTTTGAAGTAAAATGAAACACATGATTTATGTGTGTTAAGACAAAAACATCAGTGGCATTTGATGATGAAGACATAATCAAGTAGACTTGGTGCCTAATGTGGTCAGCCTTTTTGCATTTCCTTCTGCCTTAGATTTCTGTTTTAGAGATTTACTTCCATTTCTTTTAGATCTCCAGTGCATGCAGTAGAAATCCTTCTAAAGCATTTCTTTCTATTTTTTTCCCCCCAGAAGTTTGCATGTTTCCCTTACCCCATGAGAAAGAGGTCTGACAGCTTGGAGGTGGGTTTTTCTGAATAGTGGGAATGTATTCTGTTATTTGTTGAATTTCTTACAAGGGTTCTCCTTCATCTTGCCCAATGTGCAAAATATACTTCAAATAACCATCCATCACTATCCCATTGTATTATTTCACCACTTTATTTCTTCTCCTTTAGGTAAGTGAAAATGATGATCTAAGATCATAATCATTGCTGATCAGTACATGGCCTCCTACAAAGATCTATGTGAACACACAGACTTTTTGTAAGACGCCACTGAGCAGGTATCAGATGGAGCACCCTCCCCCATCACCTTCTCACTCCTGAAAAACTTAATAAGTTGGTATTGTTCAGCGAGTCATTCAAGTGAGTAGAGTGGAATTCTACCTGTTCCTCAGGTAGAGTATCTGCTAAGCTCCTTCAAGGACTGTTAGGCATTTGTAGCTCTTTTTATGGGTAAAGAGCTCATGGTTAGGTGAATGCAAACCTTGAGTGAAAGCTTTGTGACTTCCTGTGTTTGGCTGAAATCATGCACAAATTAAGCCAGTGTTCAAAACAGAACTCAACAAAGATATTCCTCTTTTTCAGTGTCATTTTTAATACTATATATGTATATATATATTTCTACAAAAAAATATGTTCTGGAAACAGTGGAAACACAAGGAGGTGAAAACTTTATGAAAGTAAACTTTCATAAATGACACAGTTTCATAAATGATCATATAAAGGGTTTTTTGTTTTTTTTTTAACATTGGTTATAATTTCTACTAGGTGTCACAACTCAGTGAACCATTAAAAGTGAACCGGCTCACTGAACTGAACTGAACTGAACTGAACAGATGGAATTCCACCCTTGCAATGCTTGAAAGGTTTCAAGAACAATACCAGCTCTTCTTTTAAGTCCCTTCCTCACAATCCCTTACCTCACTAATGCAAACATGTAGGGGCTCTTGGCTAGAACATGGCCCCTCAGCTCTTTGTTCCTTTGTATGGTGCTGTTATTCAGGCAGAG